CCTCGCGAGCCCCGCCCCGACGCCGTGACGTATCGCCGCGCGCCGGCGGCCACGTGTGCGGGCGGAGCCGCCCGCCTGGTTGTGCTCCACGTCCCGCGCTGCCAGCGCGGGCGCCCGCCGGACTGAGCGTTCCTCGGCTGCTCTAAGTTACCTGGTAGCTGCCAGCTCCGGGAGGCAGTGCTGCGTCTCTTTAATACATTTGAGGAATGTATTAAGAAAAGTGAAGTGGGGCCCGGCAGGTGGCTTGATGGTTAAGCTGCCGGACTCCCACTCAGTTAACTAAGGTTCGAGTCCTGGACGTAGCAGCTTGCAGTCTCACTTACCTTCTCTATCTGGTCGAATTAAAAAAATAATAAATAAAGTGAAATAAATAATTTTAAAAAATAAAAGTAGGGGGCCAGCAGATGGTGTGGTGGTTAAGGGTGCTGGACTCCTGCATGGTCAACCATGGTTCGAGTCCTGGATCTGGTGTCTTGCTTTCTCACTTTCCCTCTCTCCCTTTGATGAAATTTAAAAAAATAATAATTGAAGTTAGAATAAATAATTATTTTTATAAAAATGTTGAAGTGACTGGGACCAGCAGGTGGCATGGTGGTTAAGGTGCTGGACATTCCCACGTGACTGACCACGGTTCGAGTCCTGGACCTGTTAGCTTGCTTTCTCACTTTCTCTCTCTTACTCTTTCTCTCCCTCTCTGTATCTGTCTGGTCAATTTAAAAAAATAAATGAATGAATAAAATAAATAAATAAAATTAAAATAATTTTAAAAAATGTTGAAGTGACAGGAAAAGAAATTGATTTGGCAGAAAGTATTTATAAATAAACAAGATTTCCTAATACTCCTCACCCCAGAAGCCCTGGTAAAGTTTGCACATTTGATACACATTAATAAGTATGAGCTAAATGAAACTGGACACAGAGTGGGACCCCTGGGCCTTGGTGGGAAAGAAAACTTAGGGTGTCTGCTTGCTGTCTTTGACACCAGCTCTACCCAAGCTGTTGCTTTTGGGGGGAATCAGAATGACTCACAGAGGCCCTTTAGCTTTGGCTGCTGCCCTCTGGGCCTGGGCTCTTCCTGGCGTGTGGCCGCTGGTCTGGATGTGCTGGACCTGGACTGGTGTTCAGCCAGACAGCTGAGCACCCATGCAGGGCCGGACCAGCCTGATGGAGTTCATAACACAGATGACTATTTGGTATAACCTGATGTCTTTATACTTCCTTTGCGATCCTTTTTATATATTCAAATTGATTTTTTTAATTGCCAGAGGATCCACGTGATTGACAGAGACAGAGATGGAGCCAGAGACAGAGATGGAGCCAGAGATAGAGAGAAGGAGAAAGCACCAGCATGACCATCCCACAATCTCTTCAACTCCATTTCTCTATCCTGTTGGGGTTCAGGCATATACACACATGCCTGGAGTGTTTTTCAAGCTGCCGGGCCTGAGATTCAAACTGATGTTGGCTATGTGGGATCCGGCACCTTTCACCATTATGCTAGGGGGCCAGCCCTCAAATCAGTTATCTCGCATATTATCATAAGATCATAGAATGTGAAAATGGGGACCTTAGAAATCACTTAGTCTAGTGTTTCTTTTTTTAAAGAATTAATTAATTAATTTGACCACAGAGGGACAGGGTGAGAGAGAGTGAGAAAGTGAGATAGTAAGCCACCAGGTCTGGGACTCGAACCAGGGTCAACCTTGTGGGAGTCCAGTACCCTTAACCCCCACGCCACTTGCCAGCCCCAATCTACTGCCTCTTGAATTATGTTCAGATCGCGAACAACTCTGAGCCATGGCGAGCCCTATCTTTCCACGCAAATGTTCATACACAGCATTCTGCCTGTAACTTCAGGTGCTGGGCGGGGGTAGACAAATCATGAAGATCGCAGATTAAAAGTCTAGGGCTCAGTGCAGCCATGGGTCCTCCAGGGGGAAAGATCAACTGGCCCCAAACGGAACTGATGAAGAAGCTATTCAAGCGTAGGTGGGTATTGAACCTGGAGCTGCGACTGAAGCACCAGGTGGTGGGGGCTGTAGTAGACCAAGAGCTGATCACGCGCCACCATCTCAAGAAGCAGGCGTCCAGTGCACGTGCCAACATTACTCTGTCGGGAAAAAAAAAAAAAAAAACGCAGAAAACTCCTCCAGCAGATCCGGCTGGCCCAGAAAGAGAAGGCAGCCATGGCGGTGAAGCCCCCTCAAAGGCAGCCAGGACTAGTGAACCACAGCCCTAACGGCAAAAGAAGGCGAAAGCCCCTCAGGATGTAGACATGGAGGACCTTGAAGACGACAGCTGAAATTCTTACTGCTTTTTTTTTTTTTTTTTTGAGAGATTTTCATTGTAAGGCACGTGCGCTCGCCAGACAGACAGAGAGAGACATAGAGACAGAAAGTGAGAAATCACCCCCCAGGGGGGATGGTCACGCCGCAATCCCTTCTCCTCCATTCTCCTCTCGGGATCTTGGGCACGCACGCACACGCGCCCGGTGTGAGGTTTTTTAAGCCACCGGGTCCGGGACACGAACCACGGTCGACTACGGGGGAGTCCAGCGACATAGCCATTACGCTAACTGCTGGTTCCCAAATTCTTACTGCTTTTGTGAGAAGATTCACAATTCCAGCCAGAAGGACTCAGTGGCGGATGCAGAGGACTTTGGAGAAGCATTGCCCTTCGTTGCTGTCTCCAGATTTCTCTTCCATAATGGTTTCCTGACCTCCCCTGGAGAGGGGTGTGAAGGAAGGGAAGAAGTCTAGAAGAAATATTGGACGGGGGTCTCCGTGGTAGTCAACTCCATTTGTAATAATGCTCTAGAGCTCTGAAAAATTTTTTAAAAAAAGTCTAGGGCTGATCTGTGTAGCCCGGAAAGGCTGCTGTTTGGGAGGGTTGGGAGAACAAGGGGGTGCTGTGTTTCTTCCATGTCCATCCCTCCCTGCCTGCTCCTGGGGGAGAGGAGCAGGTGGGCTGCAGGGCACAGGCAGACTAGATGCGTGAGGCCCCTCAGCTGGCAGGGTGGCTATCGTCCTGCTTCGGAGGCCATTGCCCCATGAGCTCCATCAGCTGGTGACCTGCATCTTTGCCAGGCTGTCTGCTGCTACGCCAGAGACCTGGTGTTGCAACCCTCCCAAGCCCTCCCTTGACCACTGTCACCTTTTTTTTGGGGGGGCTGAAGTTTTAGTGTTTAATAATTAATAGCATAACTAACTAAGCCCCAACATGTGAAGATGACATGTTCGAGATAATGGGAGAAATCACTCCTTTTTTAAAAAAGCATTATCTATTTAATTTTATTTATTCATTATTTTCATTTGACCAGCGAGAGAGACACAGAGAGAGAGAGAGAGAAAGTGAAAGTAAGAAACCAAGCCACCAGGTCTGGGACTCAAACCACGGTCACCCATGTGGAAGTGTCCAGCGCCTTAACTACCATACCACCCGCTGGTCCCCAGGGTAATCACTCTATTTTTTTGGGGGGGGAGGAGGATTTTTGCTATAGGGCACATGCGTTCGCCAGAGAGACAGAAAGCGAGAAATCACCCCCCAGGGGGATGGCCACACCACAATCCCTTCTCTTCCATTCTCCTCTCGGGATCTTGGACGCACACACACTCGCTCCCAGTGTGAGTTTACGCTGCCGGGTCCAGGATTCAAACTGCGGTTGACTACATGAGAGTCCAGCAACACAGCCATTCCACCAACTGCTGATCCCAGAAATCACTCTTTAAGCTCACTTATATAGTGTGTGGTTACAAATGCACACTTTAGGGACCAGTAGTTAGCGTAATGGCTACATCGCTGGACTCCCATGTAGTCGATCACAGTATGAGTCCCGGACCCGGTGGCTTAAACTCACGCCGGGTGCATGTGCGTGCGTGCCCAAGATCCCAAGAGGAGAATGGAGGAGAAGGGATTGCGGCGTGGCCATCCCCCCTGGGGAGTGATTTCTCACTTTCTGTCTCTCTGTCTCTCTCTGTCTCTCCAGCAAGTGCACGCACCCTATAGCAAAAACCTCTCAAAAAAAAAAAAAAAAAGGAATGCACACTTTATAATAGAAAATCTGTCTACACATAGGGGTTAGCTCAGAAAGCCACTCTCTCCTCTTGCTGTCCCAGATTTGTGTCAATTCCTCGTAACCTTCAACTCCTTCGCGTGGCTGGTCCCTGTCTCCACCTTCCAGATGTTCCACCCCAGCTGTGTCTGAGGTCGGCAACGTTTTTCTCCAGAACATCAGCCCCGCGACGCCTCGCATCAGTTCTTCCAGTGACCTGGTCTGGCCTGGTCGGACACGGTCTGAGATTGATCTGGCATCTGTTGCAAGAGCGTTTGCACCACAGAGGTCAGGTCCTGCGCGGGCACCGGGTCAGTCGCGGCCATCTCCCTGTGCGGCTTGGTGGTGCGTCCTCAGCCCTTCACTGACACTTCCGTAGCTCGCAGCCCCCGCTGACCACTTCTTAGCTTTCTCCTCCTCCAGGAGGAGGAGGAGGAGGAGGAGAGAGTGGCCAGGATTACAGCTTTTGTGCCAGTCCCCACACGTGCAAGAGCTGTGATGCGGTTCCTCAGAGCTGGATCAGAAAGTTCGGGAACATCACCACCGCCTGTCATACCCTGGAGGGGAGTAAATAGCTCCAGGACTGAGCCTGGAGACCTCCGTGCTCGCCTCCTCCAGGGGGACCAGTCTGCGCCCTCCTTCCCGGGAGCCGCAAGGCCAACACCAGTCTCTAGTCTCAGCGGGTGCTCCCACCGCTGTCCTCAGGCCTGACCCTCATCCCAGTGACCACCTCCCTTCCCTGCCCAGAGGCCCTCAGGGTCTGCAGGTGATCGGCTTCCGCGGTGAGTCAAGCCAGGAGGGGCCAGATGGC